ATTGTTGTCTTCCTACCCCATATTTAGCAAGAATATCAGCCAAATTATTGGCAGTCTTGATCCATTGAAATTTCATTTCCATATCCTTAGTCAACCACCTAAATTTTTTATCTCATTACTATAACTCCTCATTTAAGCTTCCCTTCTTTGTAGCCATCCCAATATCAACTTCGAATTACCTTACACAATCAGCCTTTTAATATTCTGACTTCTTGCTTTTTTGTTTTCCCTCCATAGTGGCCAAGACTTGGTTGTGGAATCCCACAGGGGCTTTAATGTATGTTTATTTTTTCGATATATGCAGGCCTCAATGGCTGGTGGTTTATTTCCCAAGAGAGAAAATAATATTTATGAATACCAAGCTTCTAGCTATAAAGCTTTTTTGCTTCAAAGCTTAGAACAGAGGATTCGTTTTAACACCAGATTTAGTTCCTAAAATCCAATGGGGGTATTGTTGGATAGTGAGCTGGATTGTTAAGTAAGGAAGTTAAAGGAGGATTGGTTGAGCTTTCAATTATAAGATTTGGTTTTTGATTCACCCTTAAGCTGCACTAAAGAAATGCATAAAAGACAAATATAGTTTGAATTAAACCAATCATCATAGTGTTGATGGAATCACTGAACGTCTAATATAGTAATCAATCAAACCAACCAAATCGTTTGCATTGGAGATGTAGAGAGAGAGAGAGGACTGCAAGCAGTTGTATTAATCAAGGAATATTATTGTTTTGAAAAAGCAATAGTTCCTTATCAGAATTGGATTATTGTTTGAGTTTAATAGCTTTTGGTCCAATGTGAAGAATCATAACATGAGCTAGCATCATAGCATGTCCATGTGAAGCATCATAACATGAGCTAGCATCCTTGTATAGGTAATGCATTTTAAGCCTTCCATCTTACTTGTGATATTCTCTGAAAAGGTTATATGTCACTGTTCTTTTTAAAGGATTTGGTTTTATAAACAGTAAATTTCTCCCTTCTGTGCCATATTTGTTTTGCAGGTGATCATGGATTTGTCATTTGTTTATGCCGTATGGTAGAAAGATGAAGATGGAACTCTTCTTCCCCTTTTTTTTTTTCTATTTTACTTTATTCCTTAATATATACCCACAGGAATCAAGAAGCCACACTATTTTTTGACAAAAAATGCAAATACCTAGCTTTCTATAATTAGCCAGAGCAAGATATTTTTGTAGCAAACTTCTAGCCTGTAACAAGTGGCTGTTTGATTTCAGAAAATATGGAATCGACTGCCACCTGTTGGATTGCAGAAAATATGGAATCGATTGTTAGGAAGATGTTTAGTGATTGCGGAATTGACTATTAGGGAGATGTTTAGTGATTGCAGAAAATATGGAATCGACTGTTAGGGAGATGTTTAGTGAGGTTATTTACTAAAATATGGAATTGATTGTAGAAAATATGAAGAAGAAGAAGAAGAAGAAGATGAAGAAGAAGAAGAAGAAAATACCTGTGATTGAGA